CATAAAAGTGCTCCACGCGGCTCCGGGGGGTTAATAAAGGCCTTCTGAAGTGAAGCGATGCATTTGTGTAAGAAAAATATCCATATTTAACACGTTACAATGTAAAATTCTAGCTTCCGGCCAAACGGCCATAGGTAGTCTTATTGCGCAACTTGCGCAACTCATGACGTCAGAAGTAACGTAGTGCGTCATGACGTAGTGTAATTATCTTTTTAATTTTGTCGCAGTATGTCGCATTACTCGCATAAGTTGCGCTTTACACTTAAGTGGAATCCGTATGTTCGTTTGGCCAGAAGCTAGTTATTTTACTTTATAAAGTTAGAAGAAATATGGATATTTTTCTTACACAAACGATTCACTTTGCTTCAGAAGGCCTTTATTAACCCCCCGGAGCCATGTGGAGCACTTTTATGATGGATAGACTTCAAAACAGAAACAGCAATTCATTGCCATTATAAAGCTTGGAAGAGCCAGGACATTTCTTAATAAAACTCTGATTGTATTCGTCTGAAATAAGAATGTAATATACAGCTATAGGATGACTTGAGGAAGTAAATCATGAGCTAATTTTCATTTTTGGGTAAACTATCCCTTTTATTTTTATCTGTTCTAACCCATTTTGCTTTACATGGCTTATATATGACAAAATAATTTTTAGTCAAAGTCAGCATAAAGTTGGGATCATCTTTCATAAAGTCTTTTCTTCTCTATTGTAACACATAATCAAGTGAAACAGCTTCTCAAACGAGAAAAAATGTAGGGAGGGGCTTGATTTCCATCAAGTTCCATCAAAAATGGATTGGATCTAGAGGTTTGCATATGATCGTTTTTTTTAGTCCCCCTCCAGGAAGATTCTGTCTCACTCTTGCTACATAGAAGTTATATTTCTAGCTGTTCCCCCTTCTGCCCACAACTGTTTTATCCAATTCCCGCCTGCAAAATCATGCAGGTAGAAATCTGTGGATTTCTTAGTCCCATTCCAGTGAGATTCTCTCCCGCTCTAGTGTCATAGTCTATTTTTATTTAATTTTTCACACACAATGCTTCAGACCTCACCTTGTTGCCTTTGTCACAGCAGGCAAGAGCAAGGTGCTTTCTCTAGCTGATGCATACAACCGAAAAACATGGAGAATATCAAACCCTGCTCCTGTAAATCGTTAATTTATATTACACAATTTTGTTGAGGGGTGTAGGATATGTTAATGTTTTTGATTCAAGATTACCAGGGCACATGAATAAAAAAATTATGATGTAGGCCTACATAGATAAGTTATTTATAATATATACTGCAGTTTTACATAAACAATAAAGTAGTCCGTTTAGATTTCATGGTGACTTTAAAAGGCATTTTTGTCAATATGTTAAAAATGTACCTGATGCAAATGTGAAAATATATAAAAGTTGTTGCACTGTTCATAAATTGGCCCTCATTTATCAAAAGTGCGTACACCAAATTTCCAGCGTACACCTGGCGTACACCCAAAACCACGGTGACTTTGAGATTTATCAATATGGACGTTGGCGTACGGCACGCTCAAATCCTACGCCAGCTCACGAGGTGGTGTACGCACATTTGAGTTAGTGCGGAAATGCGCAGAAAAATAATTCCTAACACCACAAAATGCACTGACAAACTAAAAGATATTATATATTATGACCCACTGTAAAACAAAAAAACAACAACATAGTAATTATAACCTTCAGTGTTTATTTTTGTGCAACATGGACTTCAATGTTTAATTTGTGTGACTTTACCAAAGCATTTGATTTGTATAAGCATATGTATTCCTTCAGTTGCGAGCCTGTGCGCTTTACCCTGACGTTTCATGGTTAGGCCGGCAGGTGCGCACGGACTGGGTTCGGTAACGAAAGGTTTTCAATGACCAAAAAATAATATAATAAAAAATACATTCTTCATCTTTTAAATAATAATAATAATACAAATAATAATAATGACATTATTCTTCTAAATAACAATAAGCGTCATTAATAATACAAATCATACTAAGAAGAATATTACAAATTGTCATGCAATTATTAATGTAAATGAATGGTACTCCACATCACATCATCATCATCACTATTGTACACCCCAATACATGTAACGTGATTCGAAATTGAATGCTAATTCAAAAGACGTGCTGTAAAATATTGCATTGTGATAGGTCATTTCGGCTCCACGTCAGAGAAGTTTCTCTTCTTTGCCGTCTTCCGTGTGTCCATGGCGTAAAATGAGGGCGTGGGGGAAGCGGAGACTTGAATATATAGGGGCGTGTTATTCTAATGACGATCGTTTTCAGCCGCGGCATTTATCAAGGGCAGGTATTGCGTACACCTGGATTTCAAAGGTACGCACAGCTTCATAAATCAGGCGGTGAGAGGAGTGTAAGCATAATCTTACGCCAACATATACGCCCGTTTCTACGCAAGAATGATAAATGAGGGCCAATATGTTTACAGACCTACAAATTAGGGCCCTATTTATTTATACTTTGACAGTTCTTAGGTACCGGTAATATATTTTTTTTTATAAAACTGTGTGTGTGTGTTAGGAGCGTGCGAGGGCACTCTGGCCTGTTCCACCTGTCACCTGATATTTGAGGAGAGTGTGTATGACAAACTGGAGCCAATAGTGGATGAAGAGACTGACATGCTGGATTTGGCATACGGACTCACCAAGACGTAAGACACTTCGATCTAAAGACTCAGAGTGTCTGATTGAGTCAGTAATGCTTTAAGTGAGTTAGAATGATGGAAGAGGATTTGGCCAGTGCTAATCACATCAATATATCTTAGACAAATAAAGAAAAGGTTTTACTTAAGATAAGAAAAAGTGCACTGCAAAATATTAACAATGTACTACAATGTTTTCGAAAATGTAGAAAGAATATGGTTGATTCAAATAATCCAAATATATTATGTTGGGTATTGACCTGCTCAAGAACACTGAAACGTGTCGCTAGCTGGTTATCAAATTCAAATGCATCCTATAGTTTAATCAACAATATTCACAACATAAACATAAAATGACAACTTATTTTTGCACAGACAGTTAAGAAAATGCTTGAACAAAGCTATGTGCTATTCTGAATGCATGCACTTTTGATGTAACAATGTTATGCAATATCCTAGATGGTCTCTGAAATACAAATGAATAACATGCTTCTAAACAGTAACTGTCTAAATGATATTATTTCAGGGGTCTCAGGTTTCACAAGGACAATTTTCACATAATGTTGATGAATCTTTATTTAAAATGAAAGTGTGTGTGTACAATAATAACAATAATATAATAAATCATATTTTTTAGACAATTGGTACAGTTTGACACCATTTTACACATTATCAATTACTAAAATGTATTATTAATATCTAAAATGTTACTTTTATCAACTAAAATTATTCATAATTTATTCATTAATCAGAGTGATACGGGAAACTTTTACTTAAACAAAACCTAAACTGTAAAAAAAACGTTCTTTGTCCGTTCACTATGCTAATCATTTTTTGTCGCTGTTCTGTCATTGGCTCAGATCTCGTTTGGGGTGTCAGGTGACTGTGGAACACTGGATGGATGGAATGACTGTTCACGTTCCGCATGAGATCAATGATCAACGAGGAAAACATGAGGCAGTGAGCAGCAAATGATACACAAGCACTCACACGTCAATTACCATGTTAACTTAACACTTAATATACAGTCAGATCTGGTTTTACTTTCTAAAACTGATTTTGTATTGTTCTGTTTTAATGGCATATGAACATTGTACTTTACACTTCCACAAAATAATAAAATGAGTGTGACTAACCAGTATGCCCCTGTATATCACCCAAATTAATCTTAACACAAGAACGAATAGGATGAATATTTCTAGCCTTAAGTGATGTTGTGATTTTGAAGCTTGCTGGAAATAACTTTTTAAAATGTATTACAATATTCGCATATGTTCATCGTTAGATGTACTGTATATCTGTAACAGAACTTTCTCACTGAACAGAGAGTGTTTGTCATGCATATGAGCTGTGCCAGAGACAGAGCCCTGTGCCCGAACATTGCTGCCTTTGGATAAAAACTGCACACTGGAAGTCAATACTGTTTCCTCATTTCTCTTTATTGCATAACACATTAGATAAATACTGCTTAAAGCTTCGGGCTTGTAAGCCAAAGGTTCTACATCCAGGTGGTGACCTTAAGACCCATGCTTAACCATAGACTGCAAGGAAAAAAAGAATGTCTGAGAAATATTTCAATACACTGATGCCCCTTGCATCCACTACATGCCTCGGATTGTAAGAAAACAACAGACTTTACAGTTGCTTTGCTTGAAGAAGGATGCTTTTTAATGCAGTGGATGCAAGGGGCATCAGTGTATTGAAATATTTCTCAGACATTCTTTTTTTCCTTGCATACTTTTCCCCCACCATTACAAACTTCTGCAGTTAATTTAGCTCGAACTATTTGGCATACAGACTCCATTCGTACTGTGTTTTGTTAATAATTTTCATCTTAGGTAAACTATATATTTTGGTTTTGTATAACTTTTTAAATGTATGGTCAGAATGTCATTGTCTGAGTTCAAAGTTTAGAACAGAAGAATTGGCTTCCTTTCATTTCATGACTTAGAATTTGAATTGAATTAGCCACACCCAACAGGAAGCTGAATTGGAATGACAGGAAGTGAAATTTACTGAATTGCTATTTAAAGAAATTCAGCACTGTTGTAGAGTTAATTCACCATGGCAAATATATATATTTTTATTACATACAAACTTTCCTTTACACTTAGTAAATTAATTATACTTAAAATCAATTTAAAAATTCAAATTTAAAAACCTTAATTCAAAAATTCAGCATTTGAATTGAAAGTTGGCATTCTCTGTTCAATTCGTAATGCACAGTTGAATTCAACAAACCATTCTTATGCAGCCTCGCAAGCACCAGTATTCCTTTCAGGAAAAGCAAATGTATTTTTCTTATGAACCTGATAAAATGTCATGTCTAAAAGGAGAAATTATTATTTCATGTTTCACTTCCCAAACAACCACAGTACACTGAATTTAGTTACTAAAGATAAACAAAATATTAGATTTAATTAACAGAAATACAGATAGCACACTCCCACACGCATTACAACACATACTAACAATGACTCACACACATTTCACAACTTTTTTTTTGTAGCGAAGGAATTGTGCACTCCAACTGTCATCAGCAGCTGCCAGTGTCCTCAGAACGCTGGGTATCTGAATTATGTTGAGAGTGTGACTTATAACATAATGATCCCTGATACAGACAGCACTACATTAATGGAACTTTCTCGTCTTTGTTTTTCAATCTATGCATCTAATCTACCCACTCACCCACCCAGAAAGATTGCAGTGATATAGAGCTAATGAACAAAAATGCACATTATAAATGAATAAATTATGTGGAAAACTCTTCCTGTGGTCCTGCTTATTTGATTTTTTTGTTTTCTTAGACATTTTGCATGACCAGAAGTAGCTAAACTTACACAAGTACTGCAAACATGGTTGAACATGAGTGTAACAGGATCGCTTAGGTCAAACGTGGAGTCGCTGAGCTCTGGAGACTCGTGCCCCCTCTCTTGGGGTATTTGACAAACTGACACCCCCTTAAATCGAGTGTCAACCACAGTCTGTCAAATACTCTAAGAGAAGAGTCTAGATCAGAGAGAGACTGGTAGATGAGTGGATAGACCTGGAGAGATGAGAAAAAAAAACTATTTTAAAGCATATTTAAAACAGGAAGATCTGTCCTTTGTTTCTCTCACTCCTCTCTTTTCCTCCACCCGTTTGTCAGATGTACTCAAAGTAAATAATCAATGATTCTTGATTCCTTAGAAAGCTTTTTCAGAATCAACACAAAAGAGAGTCCTTGAGTGGAGAACAGCATCCGGCTCAAAATATCAGGTATAATTATCAGTGAAATGATTAAAAAAAGGATAGAAAAAATAACCAAATCCTATAAAGACCTTAAGCAAAGTTCACATTTTGGATTATTTAATAGAGATGTTTGTTCCCCCACCATGCATCTCTTTGTTTCTCTTTACTTCTCTTCCATTTTTAATTCTACTTTCTTGATTTATCTTTCTAGCCTGGATGAGAAGATGTTCAAACCTTTCTCGCTTCTGCAGTGGTTGGATCTGCATGGCTCCTCGCGTTGGCCTGGTGTCGCTTCCATGGGGACGTGTGCTCTCCGTGGCACGTATGTGTCATGCGCCGATGAGTGTTTGAGTGAAGCGGACAGCATGTGTGTGATCACTAATAAGCCACCAGCGTGAGGAGGAAGTAAAAGGGGGAAGATAACACGCAGGCTTTAGAGCAGGAAATATCTGGAGGTTAAGAGACAAAACTGTGTGTGTTAAAGTAGTTGTGAAATGTTAAAAAGAAGTTCTGAGTTTGCAATAGCAGCCACAAACTCTCCCGCCAAATTACTCCACAAACTGTAGTCCTGTATGTGTTGCATTGTGTTGTATTATCAGTACCTTTTACATTTCGTTTATTTCCTAAAACACAACACAGATGTTTCACTCATTTTTGAATTACGCATTGCACTGTGAAAAAACACAGAAACTTCATATTAACCTATTAACACTGTATATTGGGCTGTGTTTTTAAAGACTTGTCATACATTGTGTACAATCTTCAGATGTGCCTAATAGAATGGAAATAGGACTCAATTTGGACTCCAAGGCAAGCTGCCAAAAAAGTGTCTATGATTGAGATACATTCAGAGTGTGTGTGTATACAGTGTGACATCTTTCATTAACATTAACGTGAGCATTGTATACGCGTCCATGACCCAAGGCACAAGCACATGCTCATTCATTGGGTGAGGAAAGTGGTAATGCATGTTTTAGCTCACTCCAGGAATTCTGGTCAGATGAAAAGTGGTAACTAACTAATGCATATTTTAGCTCACTCCAGGAATTGGTCAGATGAATAAACGCAGATGCCATTGAAATCTTAAAGCACCTGCAGAACACAATGATGTGATATTGATGTCTGATGCTCCTGTGGAGTATAGAGAGCCTGGTCTGACAGCTTCTAATGGCATTAACACTGCACTCTTTGAAAATGGTTGAAGGTCTTTGTATTCAGTTAGACTTTAAAGCCCTTAATAGCACAAACACAACACCTACAAGCTTTTCCCCATCCTGATTCATGGAAATGTTCGCCTCACTAATAGAAAAATAATTGAAAACCAAATTCATTCCAACAATCTTTTTTAATCAATATGTGGACTGCAGTAGGCAAAAAAAGAGGAAAAGCTACATTTGACTTGTGGTGTAGCAAAGTCTTCAGGCCCTCCTGCTGGCTGGGAGTGATGGATTTTGGTTAAATTGTGAATTATGCAAACACTGTTTTGAGAAGTGAGGAACTCATTCATTGCTTGTTTGATTAAAAAAGCTTTGGCTGCCTGCCACCCTTCAGCAGCCTTTTAAACCATTTGAGGATACGGGGGAAAAGTTAAAGTTTGAAGTTCATTTCCGTAGTGCTGCCAGCAACTGAGTGGTTTTTAGTGTCCACTTGCAACGGTCGAGCTCTTCACAGACTGCTTTTGTGGTTGATTGGTGTTTTTGTGCTCAGCTGTCATGTGGTAATGTGTGAATTTCTGGTGGGGGATGTTGGATCCTCTGGTCTACTGAGTTTTTACACTTTCTCCACACTGCTGACGATCACTAATGTGTGACAGTGCTCAGTTCCAACCCTAGACCTTCTCATCAGGCAGACGACCTTGTCAGGCATGATGATCCACTGATACCGAAAGATCTTGACATTTTATAAGCCATAAAATCCAGGAATCAGGATTTGAATTATGTAATTTAAGTAATTTAAATTTAAGAAACAATTCAAATGGAATCTGGGCTGTGTTTCCCAAAAGTCAAGTCAAGTCATCTTCATTTATATAGCGCTTTTAACAATGGATTGTTTCAAAGCAGCTTTACAGAGATAAACATATAATTTAAGGTAACAGATTGTTTTGGCGTTATAGCGGTTCTTGAATAATGTTACTTCCAGCTAAAGTTAACTTTGATTGATTCACCTCCGTCGAAATGATTAGACTTTAAACGCGAACCTGTGATTAACGCTGACGGCGTTCACATGCTCATTCAGAATTCTATAGTTATGTGCTTTTTAAAATATGTGCGCAGGTTTGTAATTCATACAACCCAGCCTAAACAAACTACTTTTCTTGCCTATAAATTTTGATACAGAATTTTGTTTTATTTTATCACTTCGGGGTACGCGAGCCGGAATTCACAACGCTTTATCTGTAGAGTGGGAAAGGGATCCTCCATAGGGAGAGGATAGTGGATACTTCAGCAAAAGCATCATAAGCCAATTGGCACCAGTGGTCTCTGTGATCTTAGGCTTATGATGCTTTTGGGAAATGCAGCCCTGATCAATTCACACAACTAAATTAATCAGTAGCCTATTAAATATATTTTTTTAAATAATATAAATGTACTAAAAATACTGCTTTTTTATTGTGCAAAGACATTCACGTTGTTAAAGGTTAGTTCACCCAAACATGAAAATTCTGTCAGTAATTACTCACCCTCATGTTGTTCCAACCCCGTAAGACTTCCGTTCATCTTCGGAACACAAATTAAGATATTTTTGATTAAATCTGAGAGCTGTCTTACTCCTCCATAGGCTTCTATTGTAATTTAAATCTGCCGGCCCAGAAAGTTAGTAAAAACATCATTAAAATAGTCCAAGTGATTAAAGTGGATAAACCTTAAGTTTATCAAGAGAATACTTTTTGTGCGCAAAAAACCCCCCCGACTTTTATTCAACTTAATTTTCTTCTGTATGGGCCTCTGAGTGAGTTAGGGTGAGTTCACGTAGTGTAACAGCGCAGCGCTACGTCAGAACGTAGGCTCACTATTGGCAAGCATCACACTCATGACCAGCGTCGGCCAATAGTGAGCCTACGTTCTAACGTAGCGCTGCGCTGTTACACTACGTGAACTCACTCAGAGGCCCACATAGAAGATGAATAGTTGAATAAAGTCGTTATTTTTGTTTGTTTTTTTGCGCACAAAAAGTATTCTCGTCACTTGATAAACCCACTTGGACTATTTTAACAATGTTTTTACTAACTTTCTGAGCCGGCAAGTTTCAATTAAAATAGAAGCCTATGGAGGAGTAAGACAGCTGTCAGATTGAATCAAAAATACCGTAATTTGTGTTCCGAAGATGAACGGAAGTCTTACGGGGTTGGAACAACATGAGGGTGAGTAATTACGGACAGAATTTTCATTTTTGGATGAACTTTTCACAGATCACCTTTAATACTGGTGATCTGATTTCTGGACAGCTGCTATATGCAAGGAGAGAAAGCAGATCATTTTATGGCTGATGATGAATATTTTGCCTTATTAAGAATGATTGAATCATTAGAGAGATTGAGGAAGATTGGGAAGATTCAGAATAATGCAGAAAGGTCAATTAGCCTGCCGACTGTGTGCTACTTCAATATAATCAAGCTTGAGTGTTTGGCTAACCCGAATGCTTTATACCAGCCGTGCCTTAAGGCCTGTTCACACCGGGACGAATTTCGCGCGCGATATTCGCCGACGTTTAACGCCTCGTGACTAAACAAAGGGCGCCAATGTGAGTGTGCACACCGACGCGTAAAACGCCACACGTAAAAGCGTCAATTTTTAAAAAACGCCTCGGGTTCGTTTTTTTAGTTTGACGCGCCGCGTCAAAAACTATCCGACCAATGAGATTGGCGCTTTTGCTCACGTGTCTGGAGCTTCTGAAGTTACAGTAAAACACAACTTGTGGTCGCTCAAACACAAAACGGTCTTGCCGAGCACACATACGTAACAGTGAAGAAGATATACGCCAAGTAGCGTCTACACTGCCGGGAAGAAATAAGACGAGGAAGATGCAAGGCAAGATGAATGTAGAGCTGCTGGTCTCGTTGGTGTCGGAACATAAAGAACTATATGACAAACGCGACAGCGACTACAAAAATCTTGATAAAAGAGAATGTTATGGAGTGGTATTGCAGAGCAAATGGGCGCCATCTAATGTCAGGGAATGAATTTGCATGTTCACTCGGCTCATCGTCAGCGAAAATCGCTTGGGTGTGAACACAAAAAACGCGTTGAAAAACGCTGCCGAATAACGCGCGCCGATATTCGTCCCGGTGTGTACGAGCCTTTATAGTCTCTTGTGCTCAAGGTCAATGAGCATTACTGAAATGTTCCTATAATTGATCAATGCATATGCATGGCAGAGAACAGACACACCGGTCATAGTTGGCACATACCCTTTTTGTGTTTTGGCTAGTTAGCAAGCTAAACAAACTGTTAATTGGTAGACATAGCTAAATATCTTATCAGTGTTGTGTCCTGGGAGTGAAATTAACACCCGCCAACCTGACAAATGTGGGTGAAAATCCACTGGGGCGGGCAACACTATCAACTCACTAGCCTATTTGGCGGGTTATGATTATGTTCTGTCACTTTGTATGACATGGCTATTTTTACATGGCTATGTTAGAACTGGATGACTTTTTTTGAACGGATGTCAATTAAGGAGATTCTTCAGTAAGCTGAGATCAGTACTCAGGAAAGGAAAGGAAACGGCTGATTATTTTATGAATTGTGAGCCTGTACACATCCTCAGAGTGCTTATCATTAAGCATTTATTTTGTAGTAAGTTATATTTGGAGTTTACAACGGAATAATTTCTGTTTTAAAAGAGAAGCCACAGAATTTTGCAACAAGTATAGTATTCACTTTATGGCTCATTTATTTCTATGATATCCAAGGGCGTAGATTTGGTTTGAACATTGGGGGGGTTGAAGTTTGGGTATGCCTCCTGATATTGTGATCATGGTATAAATAATGGGGGGGTTATATCCCCCCCATCTCCCCCACAAATTACACCCCTGATGATATCTGTAAACAATAATTGAAAGCAATTCAGTTAATCCATCAGATTTTATAATAAATATAAATCTGGTTTATATCTTGTATTTTGGTTTTGGCTAGTAAAAGTTCTGAATGGGGTTTAAATTAAAAATGTAGTAGTCAAATTGGCAAGTGAGTGAAAAAGCTGATTTAAAACCATGGTTGTGTCCTCGAGAAAGGAACTTAACTGGAGGTTGTTCCAGTAATATATGTATATGCAAGTGAGTACATTAAGCATGCATACTAGTACTTTATGGGTGCATATAAATGCTTTAATGTACTGATATGCACCCTTTAGGGGTAGATAAGACACAAAATCATACTTTTGAAAGTACTACCTCAGTGATGAGTTGACAGTACACTCTTTGGACATTTTGTGAAGTCAGTGTTTAGTATTTTTAAATGTTTTCCATATGTAGATGACTCACCGCACAGCATTCAGCATCAGTGGTCCGACAGCTTGAGGTTCTGCCTTACGCAGCTGAGACAAAAACTTGCATATCTCCATTGCCAGATTGATGCTGCCTGCAATGAAAAGAACAGTGCCAAAAACAGAGATGCTTGTCATTTATTTTAGCATATTTCAGGGGTCTCAGAAAATGTGGGCTTGTTGGAGAACACTCCAAATGAGGTTTTATTGTGAACAAAGCATTTTTGGTTTACATTAGCACAACTACTATTATATTTGTTATACGACTTACCATATAAAGATAATGACGTGCGAACACGGTGAGATTTTCCTCATTTTATGATGTTTTATTAACAAGGTTCGGGAGGAGCAGGTGCAGATAATTAACCCAATCAGCACAAGTGGAGATCAATCTGTAATCAACTCAGGACAAGCTAAATAACAGCAGAACACACCTTTGTTCCATGACAGTTTATCAACATCCCACTTCCACCCCATCTCCTCGCTTTTAGTTCCATCTCTAGTTCCATCTATACTCTTACCAAGGGGGGGGAGTACTCTGGGTTCGGGCAGAAATTCCGAACAGCACGCCAAGTACGCATAACATTTCCCATAATGATTATATGTAGATGTGAACTCGTGAAGTGGCTTTAAAGTACAAGACTGTCAGATTCTATCTAGTTGCTGAAGCCACTGTCTCGTTTTGATGAGGTGGTCCTATAAGGATCCACCAATTATTTTGTTCCTGTTTACATGAATATATGTGACAGCTCTGGCTACTGTGGACGTGAATATCTTGCAATGTAGTTGCTCGGGGTCATTTGCAATTGATGAGACTACAAAGTATTGTAATTATGATAATGCAGTCCTGGGAAGAAGTGTGTTATTGAGGGCATGCATGTAATTCAGAAGTGTACGTGCCAGAAGGATGAAGACAATCATGTTAATGCGCAGTACATTCATATTGTGGACTTAAGAGCACAAAAAACCAACCGCTAAGAAAAGCAGCAGAAGGAGAAACAACCATGCAAATGTGTGCAGCTATATCAGCGTGATATTTTATGTTTATGGAGATGGGTCAAAATATGGATTGGAACATTACATGAAAGTCTTTTTTTTCTGTTCCTCATTAAGCCTGTGTTCAGTGATCTCTGACTCACAATCATGGCCGCTCAGCAGCCTCCACCCTCCACACTGCGGCTGACAGCAACAACATTTCAGGCCTGATTCTCACAGAGTGTGTTTGAGAAAGAACGAGAGAGAGAAACTTCAGTTACACCTTCACAACTCTAAAGAAAAAGATGCTTCCTTCGAAGAGACACCTCTTTTTTGTTGTTTTTTTCTGCGTGTCATGCAGTTTGCTGGAGTAGCCAAAATAGCAGAACAAGGCATTATAAAAAGAGAGAAAGGAGTTATTTTAAGGTACATTTTTATTCAGATGCTCGGTATCGAGGTATTTGAGTTGTGCTGTGCTCTGCTGGTTTTGGTTCTAGTTAGGATCAAATCTTCACTGCAGCTTTTCAGTGTGACTAGATGCAGATATAGATCAGCAAAGTGTTCTAACCGCACCAGTCATGACTCACATGCACTCATATCACACTCTCACACGCACACAGACTTATAGATGTTCTCATCTGCTTCTATCAAAGCATCAAATATAAAAATCGTTTCTGAATTTATTTAGATGTCTCTTTTACTACCGTATGTGAATATCTGTATTAAGTATTGTGTGTGTCTAAGATGGTCATGTTTGTGACATGAAAGTGTACAACTTATGTCCGTAAGTGACTGTGTGTTTGTGTAGTTGGGCATGTTTTTAGATGATATTTAAACACGGTTCACTAAAGTTCTGATTGCTTGTTAATCCTTGATTATAAAGTCCTGTGGAGGAAATCGTAGGGTTCTCTTCTTCATTGTAAGGTTGTGCGTGCATATGTTTGTGTATGAGTGTGTAGTGTGTACATGTGGCCGTGTGCGGGGTGGGTGAGTTTTCAATATCTCTGTAAATAATCAGATGTGTGTGCAATCACCATTTCAACACTCAACCAGCTAAAGTTGTGGCCCATCTCTTAAAGGGGAAGTTATAATATTCAGTTTGTCTTAAAGGAGAAGTTGACTTTGTTTCTTCAGCATGCGCCTTAAGCAAGTGTTTTCATCAGCCTCTTCTGCATGACTTTCTTAGTACAAAGTTGTGCTTTATAATACTGCAAGGAAGGTAAAAAGAGGAATGAATTTGAATCTAAATGTGAACTTTTTGCAAGTTGAGTGCTTTTGACTCTGTATGGGATCAGGTAAAGGAGTTTTTAACTTTAGCTCTGGTAATTCTTCCAGCTGTGTACCAGGCCCTTGCACACTTATAAAGACTTTACGCGTTACAAAGATGCCTACACACACACACACACACACACACAACACTGATGCACTGAGAACAAAACCTGATCATTTCAAATGATTTATATATATATATATTGTATGTGTGATAGTTATCAGTGCATTGCACTTGTAAAAACACACTTGATGACCTTTTTAAACCAAAAATTGTAAAAAGAAAAGGTCGATCCTTATTTGTTGCCAGATGCCACTTGGTTTGATATGTCGAATGCAATGAAATGTACACATTCTAAAGTGTCATTTAAGTGCTGTTTTCAAGTACTACTTTGAGCCACTCAAATGCAGTGACAAATTATGTCTTAATGATGTCTTCAAAATCACACAAGGCAAATCAATTAGATCCAAGTACTTAAGTAAAAACAAAAACAGTTAAATAAATATAGACATTGAAAAGAGTATATTTTGGCACCGTCCGTCCATGTACATGATACAGAGCTGTATCTTGTTGTGAGGGAAGTGAGAAGATGGAGGCAACCTGATAATAGCCTCTTGTGTGACTCAGAACTTGGTCAGGCAGCTCTGTTGCATCAGTGGGCAGAGTTTCATCTGGCCTTATGACACAGGAAAACTTTATAAATACAGTTTGAAAACGATTTTCTATTGTTTTCTCTAACCTTAAAATTAATTAATGATTAAAATTAATTGCTGATTGACAGAATCCAGTTAAAAAAGCTGGCTAATTTAGCTGCTGTTTGATGGGATTTGTTCACCAATTAGGCCATAAACCGTGAAACTGCATTTGAGATGTGGCCATTAGTTCTACAATGAATGTTCAGTGTGAAGCTGGACTTTTAACGTTGTCATCATGAGCTGTTTCAAAGCAACATATTAAAATACATAATTGCTGTTGATTGCAAAGCTCTACTTAAATGTAATATCTTCTGTAGTGACGGTAACATCCAGTGGGGGGCCTTGGAACTTCAGTGAATGTGGAACAGAACACTGAACCTCCATGTCCATATTTAGAGAGTGAGACTGAAAGAATGTGTGTGTGTGTGTGTGTGTGTGTGTGAGAGAGAGAGGGGAAGAAATGAGAAATCCTTGCTAAGGAGGGAGGGAGAAAGGAAGGGGACAGTAATGAAAATTAAAGAGAAAAGAAAAAGTTGTGGGGGGACATGAGATGGGTTGGGTGGGTAAAGTTCCTCACACCAAGTTCCGGACAACTTCTCATCTGGATGATAAAGTCAAACCCCTTTACAATTTATTTTATGAGGAAAAAATAAATAAATATATAATCTCGAAGACAGCTCAAGCTCCTTTCCTTTGTGGGAATTGATGCATGTTTTTTTCTTTCTTTTCTTTCTTTTTTTGTGAATGAGGAGATTTAGAGCAGCCTTGCCAAGGACGATTGAGGGAGATGGATGAAAATGAGTCCACATCAGAAGGTCTCAAACTGCACTAACCTTCAATCTACCAGAAGTGGACCGGTGACCAGGCCTGTGGAGGAAAAGGTGAATTTACATAGAGGTAGCAAATGGTTTGTTTGTGTAAGTTCAGCAGATGATTTACATGAGGTGTCCTTGAATGGACCTCAAACTGAGGGTAGGTGAGCTATACATGAGACATTTACTTAAACCTGTGCACTCCATGCATTTAGTGGTAGTGCATGCGTTTAGCTCATATTTAATCTTCTGATATTCACATCACTGGTCAGTCGTATCTAAATATGAAATTCTGTACCTAAATGAAATCTGGTTCCTTGGGGTAATTGCTGCTATTTCAGTGCAAAACATATATATTTTTTTTATTCAGACCCATGTGTCCTGACATCACATGTAGCCTACATGTTTTTCAGATATTATCTATTTGTTGTGTTTTGCAACTAAATAAGACCATCTGCTCTTCTACAGTATGTCTCCTAAACATTCCCTGTCACAATTAGAATGCAGTGCTTTCCAGATCTTTAACATATGTCTTGCTGACATGTGCTTACTGGGATACGGTGTCTGATACACACTCAACATTTTTATATTAACACATGAAAGCTTGAGAAATCTTTTTGTTTTATTTTATGGAACATTATGTGAGCTAATCTGATGTTGGGCCCTTTGTAATATAATCTTATTTTATTCTTTGGGGAAATCTTTATTGATCCTTATGGATTTGTTCAAAATTATGAATTTCCATTAGCCAATTTTGGATAGGGATGTTTTAATGCGTCAACCAGAATAATAGACTAATATTGTGCATTCTTATTTTGCAATTTTGCCTGTGATTATATTTTTTCTTGCAATAAATAAATAAAATAAAACATCTAATGACAAACCGTGCTACCTTTCCTTATAAAAATATGGAAAGGTCAGTGAAGCATTCACACCAGATGTCATATAAAGAAGAGAGATTATCTGAAAGGTGTGAATTTTCTTCTCTCAATGAACAGATAATTATTTTATAGTTTCTTTGTTTTGTCTTCATTTATTAGTACTTTTGTTGCTGCTGCCGATGATGATTTTGACCTTTTTTTTGCGATGTGTATATGTAATTGGTGTGCAATTGTGTTTGCTTTTAATTTGTAGATGATGAAGTCCACAATTCCAAGAAGAAAAACCGCTGTTATTAAATCTTTCAGCAAAACCAGACAAAGGTATGTATAAACAAGCAAATACACACATTATACAAACATACTCTTTTTTTGAGAAGTCTTTGGGCATTTTAAATTGATATTCTTTTAATTTCTCATTTCACTTCCCCCTCACACACACAAACATGCTCTCATTATTCTTTTCCTGTGCCACTGGCTTCTCCTCCTTTACCCTTTAATTGACTCCAAACAGAAAATCAAAAACCTCTTTTTCCCCTTTGTTCCTGACTGACTGATCTATGTGTGCCTACTTACCTACTTAACCATATTTTGGGGACACATTTGTACCCAGAAGCCAGCTACCACCCCCCCCCCCCCCCCCCCCCCCCCCCCCCGTTCTGTTTAAAAACCCCCAGAATTTCTTTAGGGTTAGGTCATAGTATTTATAACTCTGTATAAAAACAATAGAGGTTTAAGAAATGAATAAATGAATGTCCACATTTAGATAGCCAATTAAATTGTGCGTGTGTGTGTGTGTGTATTTGATCTAGCTGATTTAAATCTAAGTGGCATATTTATACTGTGTATATATAGTATAGGCCTATATGTGGCTCGTGCTGGCAAAATGAGTCGCAGAGCACATTTTCAAAACCGAGATATTGTTATTTTCACATTCTCTATTAAAATACCTTCAAAAGGATGTATCATTTGTTGGAATCAGACAAAAAATGTCTGAGATACACCTGTTTGAGTTCAAAAGAGTCAGCAAAGTCGATTTTGAGAAAATTTCAGGAAAATTTATGAAGGTTCCAAAACGTCTCGGGTAACTTGCGTAACCCATGTTCTCTGAATAGGGAACGAGACGCTGCATAGCGATGACGCAATGGGAATGCACTTAGGGCAGTGCTGATTGTCTGAACCCAAATAGAATCATGCCAATTCATTGGCTGATGGCGCGGGCACCTTCTCAGCGGCGCTACCTCACTCACTCTTATACAGTGAACGCGCCATCTGCTCCTCAGATTTTCCACCGATTAAGAAGAAGCTCCTTCGGCAGCTAGAGGAGCTTGGCAGCGAACAAAAGTGTGCGGAGAGGACCAACCTGCTGCCACACAAATATCTTCTAAAGGAACTCCCTTAAAAAGAGCCTGGGAAGACGTGATACTCCTAGTAGAGTGATCTTTAACGCCCAGAGGTGAAGGAAGCTTCCGCACCTCATAAGCCAAAGAAATTGCGTCTCTCACCCAGCGAGAGATCCTGTGCTTAGAAGCGGCGAGCCCTGGGCGGCCGGCCTCAAAGCATACAAACAACTGAGACGACTTGCACCACTGGCCAGAGCGGTCCACATATGCCTTTAAAAGCCCAAACAGGGCAAAGCAAATGATGCTTCTCCACCTCAGGTGAGGAAAAAGGAGGGGGACAGAAAGAGTGAAGCATGACCACTTGAGAACGGAATGATGTGGACAAAACTTTGGGGACATAACCAGGTCTAGGTCGTAGAAACACCTTCACAAGACCTGGGGAAAACTCCATGCAAGGCTCACTCACAGAAAGAGCCTGCAGATCCCCACACGCTTGAGAGAGGCCAATGCTAACAAAAGCGCCACCTTGAGAGTCAGAATCCGGTCCGGGAGCTGACTACAAGGGTTCAAAGGGAGGCTCTAATAGCCCCTCCAAAACAACTGATAAAAGACCAAGACTCAAAGACCTTCAACTTATAAAAATACAGCCATCTAGTAGAAGGCACACGAGCGTTATCAATGGTCTCCCGAACATTAGCGGGAAGACCAGACCCCACTGTCGCTAGTGATTCCCTTTTATCGGCCACAGGCCAACCCACAGCCTCCATATCTCGGGTCGAGGATGCAAAATCCTGCCCTGGAGCTGAGACAACAGATCTCTCCTGATAGGAATCTGCCAAGGGGGACTCCTCCACCAGGGAGCTCAGTTCGGGGAACCACGTCTGGGATGGCCAGAATGGGGCTACCAGAAGGAGGCGGATTCCACACTCCCTCACTCTGCAAAGGACTGCAGGGATTAGCTTGACCAGAGGGAATGCACACAGTCTCAAATCCGGCCATGGATGAGCGAAGGCATCTATCCCCAGAGGCGTCGGATGAGACAGGGAAAACCACAGGGGGCACTGTGTCGAGCCCTGCGATGCAAAGAGGTCCACCTCCGCCTCACTGAACATGCTCCAAATTTGAGCCACTATTTGGCGGTGCAACATCCACTCCCCTGACTTGAGCTTCTGTCTCGACAGAAAGTCTGCTGCGACGTTCAGGTCCCCTGGAATGTGAACTGCTCTCAGCGAAAGAAACCTGTCTTGAGCCCAAAGGAGTAGGCGGCGCGCAATGCCTGATATGACAGCCCATCAGGGCCGGAAGAAAGTGATCCAAGGCCAGAGAGACGGCTTGCAACTCTAGCAATTTATGTGCCACGAGAGAAGCTCGCCCATCCAAACACCACATTCTTGTCTGCCCTCGAAGGACCGTACCCCAACCAGTCAAAGAGGCGTTCTTCGTGACAACCTGCAAACTACACCCATCTTGACCCCTTGAAGTTAAAAAGGGGGTGTCTTTCCACCTCCAAAGAGCACGAAGGCAACTGCGTGACACTCTTAGCAGGCGGAAGGCAGACCAAGAAGTGCGGATGCCCCTGAGTTTCATCCACCACAGGAATGGTCTCATATGAAGGAGGCAGGGCCCAAAGGCAGCACAGGAGAGGCTGCTGCCATGAGCCCCAGAAGCCTGCAACATATTCCCACCGCAACATGATGGCCGAGCCTGAAACGGGCCAAGCACGCACGGAGACTGGAAACTCGAGCAGGGGCCAGACGGACTTGCATCGAGAGAGAATCGAGTTGGACACCCAGGAAAGACACTCTTCTGAGCATTCAACCTGAGACCAAGGAGGAGCCAGAGGCATCCTCTGACTGTGAAGATTTGCCCACAGGGGTCACCGAGGAGGTCACCGTCTCTCTCATTCCGGGGTCTAGCATAGAGGCTGGAGCATTCGACACGGGGAGAAAGCCTTCCATGGGTGAAACAGCTTGAGCGAGAAGATGTATTGAGGGGAGATAGCCTTGAGCATCTCCATCCTTCAATACAGGAAGAAGGTTTTGGCAGGCTGACTCTGTATCCCCAAGTGCACATGGCGGGGGGTATAACAGATTTTGATCCGTAGAGCATCTCAAGGGGAAACAGATACGCTTCAGCGGTCTGTCCCTCCCTTCTAAGATGGGGAAATCTCTCCGTTCCTGACACGTGAATCAGGAACGCCCCTGCGAAGCTGAAGCAGCGGGTTTAGCTGGCTGCCTCAGGTCAACGTGTCTACAGGGGCGCTGACGGGGCATCGGACGGACCGTGCAAGGTGGGGGATGTCTCGGCTCGTCACTCCTTCTAGAGGGCCTCTTTCCGGTGTGCGAAGCGGTCTCTGGGCGCTGGGGAAGGTGTAGCAGGTTCACGAGCCCTCCTAGGTATTAACTGCTTAAGGGCAGCTGATTGCATCTTAGCAATTCGAATTTGTCAACCACTGAATTGACCGCCTCTCCAAACAAACCTTACTGGGAGATAGGGGTGTCCAGTAGGAAGACCTTCTCTTTTTCTCGAATTTCAGTGAGATTTGGCCATAGGTGGAGCTCAACAGCCACCAAACCTGCCATGGTCTGCCCAACCGCGCGTGCAGTGTGCTTAGTTGCACGCAGGGTAAGGTCGGTAGCTCTGCGGAGCTCCTTGACCGCTTCCAGTGTAAGGCCCCTGTCCTCATCCATTTCCTTAAGGAAGTCCGCTTGGTAGGCCTGAAGAATCGCCATGGTATGGAGCGCCATACCTGCCTGGCCAGCCACCATGTAGTATTTGCCTACGAGGGCGGAAGTGGTCCTGCAGGGCTTAAGGAAGAAGAGGGCGGGACTTCAGGAAGGAGCGGAAATAGGCTAAAGGTGAGTGGCCAACGTGTCCCTCAACCGCTGGAATGCACGTGTAGCCCTGCTCCACAGAACCAACCAGGTTGGTGAAGTCAGCGGCCGCAGCATTAGTCAGCCGAACGGAGAAAGGCTGCTTCCAGCTTCCAGGCCCTAGAAATCTCACAGTGAAGATCGCTAAAAAATGGCAGCTTTCTTCTAAAGGGCCGTGAAGTGGATTGACCACTCAGAAAACACTCATCAAGCTTGGAGGACTGAGAATCGCGAGGCTCGTCCCGCCAATGTTAAGTTTCTCAGTAGCACGTGTTTAACACATCCACGAGCTCAGTGTAGGCCACAGAAGGCCGCACTTCCTGGCCGCTGGGTGGGAGAGTGTCGGCCACAGCCCGAAATCCTCAGAATCAGACGTCGCGGTGAATAAAATATCCTCCAATCCAAAGGAAATGGCATCGCATGCTTTTGGACTGGGGCATAAAAATCATGGAGAAACTCCGCTAGAAGAGGGCTTAAAGAACACATTTTTGTGAAATGAAAATGAAATTAGCCCATGCGCACTCCGATGCATTTTGCCAGCATGGGACACACACACACACACACACACATACATACTGACTGACTGCTTATATCTGACCAATCCCTTGGTAATGGCTAGAAGACACACTCTGCCTTATATAGGCAGGAATGCAACAACTGACACACACACATAAGAAAGCTGGCAAAGTACGTCATTCAGATTAGGAGCTGGAAGAGAGAGAGAGAGAGAGAGAGAGAGAGAGAGAGAGAGAGAGAGAGAGAGAGAGAGAGAGAGAGAGAGAGAGAGAGAGGAGAGAGAGAGGAGAGAGAGAGAGAGAGAGAGAGGAGAGAGAGAGAGAGAGAGAGAGATGAGAGAGAGAGAGAGAGAGAGAGAGAGAGAGAAAACAAAACATCACAACATCATTACAACAATGTCACGCTTTAATGACAACATTTTTAATCATTGGTATTGATTTTAATTACACATTTCAAAAAATGAATACACTGTTATTGGACACAGAGCAATCATCAGAGTAATAGAGATGTGCAGAGAAGAGCAGCTGTCTGTGTTTCTGCTAAACCAACAGAAGGATCGTTTAAAATGCTCTCTGAGCTTCAGCCAGAGAGA